GAGCGTGTGTGTGGGGGGGGGGGGTTGGTGCGTGTCCTTGTGTGCGGTGGTGCCAACCTTGCCCAGGGCCAGCGGCTTGACCTTCGGTGGAGGCTGCTGCAGCGGCTCGCTCTCCTAAATGACGAAACCACACAACAAACATTGTCCGTCCGGATGTGAGGAGGCACAGTGCCTGGCCACCATGAGGACGACGTTCTTCCACTCGAGTGTGGGCATGATGTCTGGCGGTTGTCTGTGGCCCCCCATGGCAGCGGGGGCAGTGGCCGTCGAGTGGGGCGAGTTGGACGGCGGGCCCATCACGGCTCGCTGAGACGGCGACGTGGGAACCCATCCTGTGAGATGAGAAAAGTAATGTGTTTTGAGTAATGAATGTGCCACAGCACGCCTGTCTGTCTAGGTACCTACCTCGTGGCTGCTGTGCCGTGGAGGTGGGTGCCCTTGAAGGTGCGGTGGCGGGCGGTACGCCGTAGGGGGAGGGGGGGTAGTACTCACTGCCGCCGGAACGGAGATAAGCTGCATATAGCCATCCACACATCCATCCATCCATCTGTGTGTGTGTGTGTCATTCTGACTGACTGACCAGGGTCTTGGTGGTACTGCGCATGATGCAGCAGGGGGTAGGTGGACCCACTGTCGTCCATCCCCACCATCAGACCTGCAGGCAGCCACATCCGCTCAGCTGGGCCGGTCGGTCCGTGTGGGCATCTCTCTCTCTCTCTCTCTCTGTCTGTGTGTGTGTGTGTGTGTGGTTGTGGTCTGACCGACGAACGCCCAGTCGATGCAGGCGAGAATAGGCAGCACCTCGGTGACGAGAAACAGAGACAGCACGCCGATCAGGGAGCGCAAGTCATCCTGAACACACACAGAGAGACCATACATACAAATGCCTCCACATATATCGAAGCGGCTGTGCTGTGTGGCTGCACGTCACGCACACTGTAGAGCGGCTCGACGCTGCTCGACTGCCTCGACGGCAGCAGAAAGGTCACCGACACAATGCCATACACCAGCCTGACCATTCATACCATGAAGGAAGGTGCAAACATTGACCCTCCCTCTCTCCCTCCCCCTGCTCACCTGGACGCCGCCCAAATGAGCGTGACGCCCCCCACCTTCCTCAGCTTCTGCCGCGCCGCGTTTGAGCGGAACTCTACACGCCGAAAACGGCTGTGCAGAAGACCCACAGCTGAACCAAACCACACAAACCAAACACAGATAGATACACACCATACCATATACACGAGTGCTGGTGCGGTGGATGGAATATATGGTACGTGTACTTGTGATGGCGATAGCCACGAGGAAGAAGTTGCTGCCGCTCTGCACCTGGGTGACCATGTTCTCGGTGAGCAGGTTGCAGCAGAACAGCAGGTACATGCCGCCGATGCAGCCCCCGTAGGCAAAACCCAAAGCGACGAACGTGAGAATGAGCCACGCACGGGTGTTCTCGAAGGGAGCCATCGAGCTGGGCAGGTCATGGCAGCTGCACACACACACACACACACACATACATTTCTGCCTCGTGCATTGGTCGGTTTGGCCACTGCCTCAAGCAGCTTGCCTGTAGTAGAGAATGCACAGCTGCAGCAGCAGGGTGATGAAGGTCAGGTCAGTGAGCGTCACGGGCGCCGAGAACAGGACGAAAAACACCGGCTTGTTGGTGTCGTGCGTGCTCATCTGACTCGGCCTGAGAGAAGCCAGCAAACCACACACACACACACACACACACACACAATGGACAGACAGACAATGGATGCTCCAAACCAACGCCAAACTCACTCCTGTACTCACCTGTATAGGTAGCACATGAGTCCAAAGGCCATAGCCCTCATGAGCAGGATCATGACGATGAGCGAGAAGAGCGTGTTGGTGACGCCCCACCCCAGCCGATACGAGTACACCCGCAGGAAGCGGAACGACCCCACGAGGAACAGCACCACGTAGTTGATGCCCAGACAACATAGCACTGCCAGATTGGGGCTCAGGGGGCTCGTCATTGTGAACAGATGACCACAGATCTTTCCCTCCCCCGGCCTCTTCCCCGCCTTTTTCTCCTCGTCTGCGAGCTACGCTTGCAGGGATGAGGAGACCCTCAAAATGATTCATTGCACGTCGGATGTGTCCATGTATTCACACCCGTCAACCCATGCTGAGCCTATTCGTCCTGATATGCATTGCAATGAGAGCTGCCGCCTCCTCCTAAATGGCCCACGTGTGGTATGTTGTGGTGTGATCTACACGCACAAATATCCCGAGGCAAGGGTCCTTCAGCCTTCCGTGACGCGAAAGGCCCGACTCTTGCCAGACAGACAGATGCGCGTGCAGTACAGACCCAACATAACACAGCACGAGAAAGACCGCCCGGCCCTCATTCGCCACTTGTCACACACGTGTTATCGAAGCATTGCAATGCCATCATTCAATCATTCATCCCCCCACGGCTCTTCTCCGGGTGCGAACATGACATTGGAGAGGTCAAAGTATGCGGCGAGGATCTTGTTGCGCTCCTTCCGGTATGTCTTCATCAGCGCCTCGCGCTTCGACTCGAACAGGAAGGGGTCAGGCTCTGTCCGACGCAGTGTCTTGAGCAGCCGACCGATACTGACAGACACAACAGACATAAACATCTAGCCCTTGCCCTGGATGCATCCCTCACACACGTCACGTACTTTCTTTGCAGGTCGTCAAGCTCGTTGTTGAGGTCGCCCACGGTCTCAGCGTATGGCGACGAGTACTGCTCGCGCACCGCCGCCTTGGCAACCGGAGGCGGCTCGCGTAATGGGGGCGGGGTGCTGGCTCCGAGGGAGGCCTCATCGTGGGGGAGGGGGAGTGGGAGGGGGGGAGAGAAGTCGGGGTGGCTCCTCCTGCGCTCATCCAGCTGCTCCTTCTTCCGACGCTTGTTCCTCTCCTGACGCCACTGCGTCCACTCACCCAATCCAGCAGCACGCACACAAGGTCCATCCATCCTTAATTTTTTTCAGTGTCTGTCGCTCTCTGAGTGAGTGCATCGGTACCTGTTTCCTGCTCAGCCCCTCGGCCACAGCCTCTGGAGGCAGTGGCTTGGGCGTGGTGGTGGGAGCTGTGATGGACCGACCCAGGTTCACGTCGAAGAGATCGTGCAGGTGGGCGTAGGGGTCGTCATCGGACAAGGATGGCTGGGAGGGGAGGGAGGCAGACGACGGTACGGCGTCCAGCAGCAGGGAGCTGGCTTCACCAGCGGCTGATAGTGACGGGGGAGGTGGGATTGGCGCCGCTGCGGGGGATAATGCTTGAGGCGGTTGTGATGTGGCCAGCCGGACCTGGTGCGCAGGGTACCTGACCACCACACCGGTGCAGACACAAATTGATGGATGGACGGATGGGTGAATGGGGTCGCTGCTACCCTTCGCAAGGTACCTGTATGTGCGTTCGTGGCCTGACTGCAGCTCTGGCGGCACACTGCCATCCTCCTTTATCCGACAATCGCGACGCACCTGGACCTGAGATAAAAGCACCAAGCATCCATCAGACAGTCACCTGATGCTTGATGCTTCCATCCATCCATCCATCCATCCACCCATTGATCCATGCACTCTCACTCACCTTGCCGTCGGCAACGTCCAGGACGACTCCGTGAGTGCCCTGGTACTTGCCCGCCAAGATCTCCACCCTGTCGCCCACACTCAGATCCTCATGATCATGGTCACTGTCACTGTCACTGTCGAGCCCCAACATGCTCACATGAGCATCAGCACCGGCATCTGCCACGCCGACCGACGCCACAGATGACATGGCGCTACCTGCACGACGGAAACAGCAGCCTGTAGATGCATTGATTCAGGAAAGCAGACAGTGTGTTGTACGAGATCACCTCTGAGGAAGGCCGCAGGGCGATCCCGGTGTCTTCGCCTTCGCTTCAGCGTCGCTGGAGGATGCCTGAGTGCGTCCACAAAGGCGCCACGCCATGCCCTGACGTCCATCGACGAAGAGGCCGTTCGGAAGAGGCGCTGCATGGCGGCCGAGAGGGCGGGAGGAGCATTGCTGACGAAGCAGACGAAGATCCCCAACGCTGCCAGGGGAGATCTTTTGAGCTGAGCTGACATCTCTTCACAACTGCCGGCTTGCGAGGCCGATCGGTTTGCGACGGTACATGTATGGTGAGGACCTTTCGTTTTCTTGTCTTGTCTGTGGTCGTGTGGTGGCTGGAGCACTAGGGCAGAGTCGACTCTGTTGGCGGTAGGCGCCTTTGCAGTGTGTGTGAGGGAACAAATAGTCCTTACGTGAGCGACAGAAAAAGAGAGCAAGTCAGTCACCACCAACACACGCACACGACCCAGCTGTACACTCCATCGACCAGCCAGCAGACCATAGCGGCAATCCCTCTCATCCAACCACTCCTCCGCACCACCAGGGAGGCCGCACATTACGCGGGCACCAAAAATACTTATGCCGGCTGGTGGTGTGGGTGGGGAGGGAGGGAGGGCGGGAGGGCGAGAGGGGATGCACGCAACGCAGAGAGGGAGAGAGAAACAGAAGACAGACAGACAGACAGACAGACAGACAGACAGAGAGAGATCCCCGTTCCCAGCAAGTCGGCCAAGGCGAGCAACCATCCAAACCACCCGTCCATCTGCCATGCCCCACCAGGCATCTATCTGTCTTACGTGTCTGCTGTGCTGCCGGGCGGGCGCGCGGCTACAAGCCGTGCCAGCATTTCTTATGTGGCACAACCGAAACGTCCACCTGGTGCAGCAGGCTGGACTGCCGCCACATGGGCCCCATGACGTGGTCCTCCAGTGTGGTTGGGGTGGTGACGGCGACCTTGGGTGGGGGGCCCTGGCCGGCGCGCTTGAGCTCCTTTAACTTGCTGCACACACGCAGGCAGAAAGAGACCACATGCAATCAACGCATAATTGGTGGATGGGATGACACACGTGTGGCTTCCATCAGTGAGTGAGTGAGTGGCTGACTGACCCCCTGGCGATGTCTCCGAGATAGACGGCGGCGTACTTGGGCTTAGTGATCACCTCATTGCCCGACCGGCCCCTCCCCTTCTCCCGTGTCACGAAGACCTCCACGATGGGCGGCGTGAACGAAGTGGGGGGCCGGTCGGAACCCTCGGCACGCACGCGGAGCTGCTCGACCCACAGCCCCAACTGAGCCTGGAGGGGAAGGGGACACACGCACACACACATACACAAACACGATCATGCAGCCAGCTATGGGTGGATGGGGTGAATGCAGTGGGGTGGGGTGGTTGGATGCTTACGCAGGACAGTATCGACGTATTTTTCGGTATCTTGGTGACAAAGCTCGTCGTCACGGTGGCCGCCACCCGCACCACGTCAAACATCGACTGCATCGATCAAACGAATCAAAGCAAGGCGAGGTGGGGCAAACCATCCATCCATCCATCCCTAGTGTCTTCTCTCTGTGTGTGGTGTCCATCGTGAGTAGATGGACGCATTGCAATGCATACCAGGCTGCCGTCGGCCATGTGGGCGAGGTCGTACGTCTTCTGATTGAGGTACTGGCGGCCGCCCCAGGGGGGGTCGATAATGGCCTGCACAGCACAAACACATCCGCATGATGGACGGACGTGTTGGCGTCTGCGCAGGTGGGTGGGCTGGTGAGTATGTCGTGTGTCGACTGACTGACCAGGTCGGCCTTGAAGTCGTAGTTGTCCCACCGGTCTACTACGGACTCATAGTCCTCGGGCAGGGCAATGACGGGCTGCACACCTGCGCGCACACAGACAGACAGAGTGGTGGTCGGATGAATGGGGTCTGTCTCTTCCTTCGTTGTATATTGTTACCGTATAGTTGTGTGTTGTATTCGAGGATCTCCACGTGCTCGGCTTCCTTATCAATACTATACACGCTCATGCCCTCTCGCAGCATGGCAATGGTATCCCCCCCTGCGCGCACACACACACACACACACACATACACCACACACGGGCATTCATTCAATCACGTGCAGTGGATGTACGTGTGTGCCGTCCGTGTGCGTGCGATGTGTACCTGCCCCAGCAAACATGTCGACCACTGTGCCCTTCGGATAGAGCTGGCTGCAGCTGGCCGCCTGGTGGAGGGCGATGGCCTCTGGACTGACGCTATACCTGGTTGACACACACACAACAACACACCGCACAACATGCGCTTCCATGGACCCTCTTCTTCGCCTCCCTCCCTCCCTCCCTCCCTCCCTCCGTCCCATGTGAGTCGTGTCGCTCGCTTACGTCATCTCGTCATTCAATTTGATAGGCCTGGTCGCCAGCCACTGCTGCCTCGCGTCCTTGCCCATCCCAGCCGGCCCGTCTATCAGCTTCACCATGACGAACACGGAGCCCTTGACAGCCACTCGGTGGGCGGCCTCGATGGCCTCCAGATCCTGGCGCGTGGCCAGCCACATGGCGGAGGTCGTGGCGGGGTCGGGCCATGTGGTGGTGATGGGCGTGGGAAGGGGCTGGGTGGCGGTCGAGTTGGTGGCCGATGCGGCCGTCTGGTCCTCCTGCTGCAGCACCATGGCCTCCCGGGCCAGGCTCTCCTCCAACTCGCTGCATACATCAACACACATTCACACGGACCCGTTTGTGCAGGTCAGGTGGCTAAAGTGGAAGGCTCATGTAGCTTGTGAATGCGTACCTTTTGGCCGCCTCGATGCGCTGTATGTAGGTAACCATGGCCTCTGCCTCCCTCCCTTGCTGACTCTGCACATACCCACACGCCATGCCACGATAGGCACACGGAGAGATGGATTAATGTCATGGATGTGCCGGTGCAGACGTGTGTGTGTGTTGGGGGTGAGTGGGGGGGTGGCGTACGCACCTCGGCCTTCGGTGTGGCGGTGACGGGCACCTCGTTGCCCTTGCCGTGCATCTTGCCGTTGACCCCGTCGCCCTCGTACTCCACCACGTTGTCCTTGGCGCTCACGGGCGTCACCGCGCCCTCGCCGTGGCGCTTGTCGTCGCGCCACTCGCCGTGGTACACGCCACCCTCGGCGTAGCGGTAGGTCCCCCGGCCGTCCACCAGCTTGCCGTCGACCCACTCGCCCTCGCACTTGGCGCCATTCTGGTAGGTCAGCTTGCCCTCCCCGTTGATGCGGCCGTACTCCCCACTGGCCCTCGTAGCGGTTGCCGCTCGCAAAGAGCGCCGTGCCGTCGCCGTCCTGCCTCTCGGGCCCCTTCTGCAGCGCCGTCACCTCCCGGGTCAGACTCTCCTTCAACTCACTGCATACATCAACACACATTCACACGGATCCGTTTGTGCAGGTCAGTCAGGTGGCTAAAGTGGAAGGCTCATTTGGGCTGTGAATGTGTACCGCTTGGCCGCTTCCATGTTGCGAATGCGCTGCGCCATGGCCTCCTCCTCCCTCGCACGCTGGATCTGCACATACCCACGTGCCACGCCAGGAACACACAGAGAGAGATGGATGTGTATGCTATGTGTGTGTCGGTGCAGACGTGTGTGTGTGTGTGTCTGGGAGGAGGGGGCCAGCTGACCACTTTGGTGTGAAACTTGGCGTACTTGGCGAGATCCGTCATCCCATCCCTCAATAACTTATCATGCAACTGAGTGACCACACACACATGCACGAACACGTACATGGACGTGTCAGTCGTATCGTTCATTCCGCCGCTCACCTTGCTGATGCTCTGGCTGAGGTGCTTGGCACCCTCCTCCTTGAGTGTGGCGCGGCTGCGATGCGGTACGACGTTGCCGTCCGGCAGCACCAGGGCGGCTTCCACGGACGCCGCGGGTGGCTGGGGCGGCACCAGCGCCCAGACGATCTCGTCCATTATGGAGACGCCCTGCACACACACACACAGCCCGCAGCACGACCATACACACAACTTGCGATGGATGGCATGCGTGGACAGATAGCTGGCTTGTGGTGGTGCGTTGTCATACCGTGCCGTACCGCTCCCCTGACAGCCAAGTCCACATGCGCCTGACAGCGTACGTACAACACAGGCGGCATTCCCTGTATGCATGTGGACATCCCATTGTCAGTATCCTCACCTCAGGGCCTCCATGGCCCGCAGAAACTTATCAAATGGCCTGCAGAGGACAGACAGACAGGACAACAGACATGGCAACGTGATCATAGCCATGCTGGCGAGAGCAGTGGTGCCCTCGCTGCCAGTGCATTCGTGAATGCGTGATATAGCGGAGGGCCCTGCCTTTCCTCCCCTCGAGGTGTGTTTCCTCCTCGCATGCATACCTCACGGCCTTGGGGACCACCTTCCTGCTCTCTTTTCCTCTTCTCCTCGTGGTTTCGAGGTGCGTGTGTGTTTTGAACGCCGTTCTTGTCTATTCTTCTGTTTTACGGTTTGAGCTCGCGATCAAGGTCCCCGGGAAGCTGTTCAAATCATTGCCACACCGCTTTTGGAAGGACTAGCGAGATGCCCGCGCGCAAAATTGCGCGCACAAACAGGAGCTCCAGAGCCGAAAGTTGCAGTTGGCGTCGCTCGTTTCGGGCGCTGCCGAAAGTTGCAGTTGGCGTCGCTCGTTTCGGGCGCTGCTGGCGCGTCGGCCTCTCTTAGCGTCGCTTCGAGAGCATTACGAAGAGTCAAGACCCGCCAACACGCGTCGCCAAGGTGATTCAAAACAGACACCGTGTTGAGGAAACGATGTGTCGGCCCGCAGATGGATAACCTCGGCTATAGCCTGATTGGTTTCTCAACATGTTGAAGAAACGTGAGTAGCTTCAGCGGGTCAAGAGTTAAGAGCCAGGCTTGACAAACAGCACAAACACGTCCGAAGACGCCAGGTGTGTGTGAGGTGTCTAGGGACCCTTAGCTCCAAACCCTCGCGTGTACGAGCACTTTTAATTCATCTGGGCTAGGGTACGCCTTCCTCTTAGCTCTTGCGAGCTGCGGGCGCATCATTTCCTCAACACCCCTCTTCGCACGCAGCCCACCCCTCTCACTATCACGTAAGAGAGAGCACGAACACTCACTGCAGATCTCCAGCTTTCCAGAAGCGTTGACCCACCGGGCCCTGCTGTCTGCAGTTGAGATTCTGCTGTCTGCAGACAGCACTGCTACACATTCCGAGTTGCACATCTCTGCTGGTGCGCAGCGGGGATCATGCACAGCGTCGGCCTCTTCGTGCTCAAGAGTCAAGGCCGTGTGCGCGAAAGAAGGACGGCTGCTGTGCCAACCCACCAAATCACAGCACCTTTCGGAAGGGAGAGTGCGCGTTGCTTCACCCAACTAACTCAGGTGAGCACACACGAAGACTTGTGGGTCTCTTCCTTCCCTAGTCCAGCTTCCGCTTCTTGTGGCTCTTGCTGACAGAGGACGCTTCCTGTCTTTCTGTTGCCTGTAGGCCTCAGATTCGTTGCCTCTCTGAGCCCGTCAGACATCGCGAGACCACCGCCCCTCTTCAAGTCAGCTGCCTCACAGCCAACTTTGATATGCCGAGGAATCGACAACGTCACACATGGGTGTCTTCTTCTGCTTGTCTGCAGTCAAGAGCTGCTGGAAGCCGTTGGTTCGCTTCCCTACAGCCTGACGATCAGAGAAGGAGAACAAGAGGTATGCCGTGAGCACTCAGAGAGAACCAGCGCACGACTGTGCTTGTCGTCATCTGTTTGCAGGAGCTGCTCAATAAAACCCTTGGCGACAAGTCGCCTTGGTTTCTTCTCGAGGACTCATTTCTCACACGAGTCGCTCGTTCAGCATCCAGCTCACGTAAGGAACCCTCGCACACACCCAAGTTGTGCATTGTCCGATGTTGTGCGTCTGTCACTTCAGACCACTCTTCTGCATCGGGGCTATTTCTGGCTTCTGGATAGCTTTTGATGGATGCACAAAATCGGCACCGGCATGACGCTAGTCAGGCCACCGAATTGCTATTGGCTTCCTGCTGTGTCTGCTGAGTGTAGGTGTGGGTGGTGTCAGAGGCAGGGAGTCTCTTCTGCGGCCAAGCAGGCAAAGCAGCACATCTCCGTGCCAGCCCTCTTGCCCCTCTTGCCGTCCGACTCTCTCTCTTCGTCACGCTCCCCATATCCCCCACACAGCAACGCCACAGCCTCTCTCGCTTCGTCACATCGACCAGGCGCGAGTAGAACCTTGCTATCCGTCAGCCATTCTGCTATGTGCTGTTCGTGCGTTGGGTGCCTGCAGCCTGAAGGTGGATGATGCGCATCAATTGAGGGCGACTTGCTTTTGCCGCGATCAAGACAACCCGCATTATCCATCCACTCAGCCGTCTCGGCGTTATGCCAGCCACACGTCACGTATGACAGCACATCAGCCTCGGGCATCTCAGCTGATGACAACGACCTTGCGAGCACGTGTACATCTTAAGTGTCAGCACGGAGGCTCGACAACATGTTGTTCATCGCCCGATCGGCCATCTTATGGGGCAGAAAGAGCCTTTTTATCCGGCACGAAAACCGGCTTGAAGCCGAGCTCGACGCCATCTATTGCCGCATACTCGATGGCAATTGGATCGTCTACAGGAGCAATCACTTCCCCTCTTCGATCCAAGTGCTCAGCGAGTGTGCCAACAACGGATCGTCCCGACGAGCCGCTCTTCCCCACTTCGAGGAACACTCTCGGTCATGTGCTCCACTTACTCATCCGTCAAGTCAGCCCCCTCACCGACAGCTGGCCGGCCGTGCGGCCGCGCATCAGCCGCAGCTCCGCTCTCTCTATGTGCAGACAACGTCCATCGGCAGACAACGTCTCGCCAGTGCGTCCATCGCATCGACGTCAGCATAGAGTCACTCGACATTGCCTCGTCTATCGTCTGACCGACTGTCTGAGAGGCAGCGGAACAGCTTGTGGGGCGGCTGCTGCATCTGTCATTGCAAATACAGCGCCATCCATGCGGATGCTGGATTCATGAGCCACTGCATTGACCATGGCTAGCAGCATCATGGGGATGGGCTCTGGGTTGAGTGCGCGTGGCCCTTCGGGGCTCACTGACAACTACGCAGCCAAGCCATCCACGTCTCCCATCCGATGCAGGTAAATCCCTCAATCATGTCACATTGCACACGTCTCGTGTGGTGTCGTCCTTTGTGACAGATTGTTTGTGGATATGCGCTTGAAGAGATGCACTGCCAAAGGTAATCGCAAAGGACCAGAACGCCACAGCGATGCGATGCTCGATCATCAGAGCACTCGCCATGTCAAGCAGCGTGCTGTTCACTGGCTTGGCGATCCTATGCTGTGCCGATGAGTAGTGTGCACTGGGTTCTGCTTGTGGCCTCCCTCTGTGCAGGTCTGTTCAACCGACAGCCCCTGTCCATCGCTCGACCGGAGGATCTCAAGCGTCTCCACCTCATCGCAGAGGCGTCTCAGTGCTACTACTGACTCACGGCCATCTGGCAGTGGATGCACTCCCATCTTCTTCGTATACGCATCAACGAAGGTGACAAGATACCGACAGCCACCAGGGGTGGACTTCAGAAGTGTTAAAGTCCGACTTCCCTTTTGTGTGCAGGTGACGATTTCATCGTCTCGGTTGATGGGATTGTGGTGCTATTTGCCTGGTCCCCGTCAGCCATCCTCAAGCTGTGAGGGTTCCAAACGAAGCCATTGCGTGCCCTCCTCGTGTGTGCGACACGAGGGCCAAGCATCCGGGCCCGTGGCGAGCTTTGGAGGACGCATCACACACCCTATAATGATGAGCGAAGCTTATATGCGTCCATCGACGGGCTGCTCTGTCGATTCCAACCGGGTTAGGGATGTTTATGCCTGTGTTTAATTCCTCAGGGTCGGTGTGTAAGACCTTCCCTTCGGCGGTCACTGGCGTGCCTTGAGGATTCACCCGAGATGCTGGCTTTCTCTCTGACCAGTCGCATGCACCAACGACTGCTCCCTTGTCCGTGAGCTTACACTAAGGGATTGACCTGGGTTACATGGGCGTGTGTGACTTGCGCAAGTTTACACACTCACATTCTTTGGCACTCATGATCGATCGATCCGACCTTAGATGCAGTCAACTGAACGCAACAATGCATTCATTCACATGCATCCGTCCGTCCCACGCACAGTCTTATTGCACGCCGCTGGCATGGACGAGACATACAGGTCAACACAACGGGCAAACATGCACAGTTCAGCACATGCAACCATGCACTCTAGTCCAGCTAGATGCATAGTCCAGCGCATGTCAAACAGGCACTGTAGTTCAGCACATGCACTTCTCATGGCGACCTACTCCTCCCGTGACTCATCTCTATTCTTCTTGCTTGACTTCTTCGTTTTCTTGCCGGTCTGTAACGCACAGCACCAGAGAAGAAGCGAGACAAGAAGTACTCGATCGATCATTGTGTATGTGTCTTGACTGCACTATCCTGTGCCTGTCTCGCACAACATACACCCCGAGTGTCCAAAGCAGACGAATGTGCCATACCCACTGAGACAACACTACCCTGTGTGCTCTCAGCTTGTGCATGACCACAGGCAACCAAAGCTGCTTCCTCTGCACTTCGCTGACTGTCCGTCTGTCCGTGACTGACTCACAGTCGACAAATAGCACTCACTTGCTCCCACCCCTGTGCACCATCGTGCGTACCATTTTGGGGTTTCTCTTCGCTACCTTGCCCGGCTCTCTGCGTGGGCAGTCTCGTTGGAGATGGCCCGAACGCCCGCAGAGCCAGCACTTACGGCCACGCCCACCAGGCATGTACACCGCGTCCAGTGCTTCCAGAGCCGCAACGCCGTCACGTGCTTCGAGACCGCTCTTAACACCCGTCAAGGCCCACATAGCCGGCACGTCATAGGCATCGCTGATCCCAGCGGCGCGTATGATGCGCAAGGCCTCGAGGGCTGATGGATGTACAGCACGCAGCAGCAGCTCATAGAGGTAGCCGGCATCAGCCTCATACTGCTCGTTGCTGACCATTCGCAACGCAGCTCGCATGCCCTTGTCGATGAGATGGCTGAGATTGACGCGAGTCATCATAACCATGAAGCTGCAGCGCCATACCGCATAGCTTGCGGCCTCGCCATCCCATTTGGGGACTTCCTCGACCTTCGGTCGTTCGAGTATAGCCACGATCGGTGTGTGCTGGGCAGGTCGACGCACTTCGAGCATGGTTTGCTGCAAACCAACAAGTGCTCGACGTGTCGCATCACACCCGATCAACATGCTTTCCGCCTCAGTCTCATTCAGCGTCTGCTGCTGGGGTCGCATCTTGGTCACCCAAGCGGGCACGGTAAGAGCCTTGCCACGGCCGCGACCGACCATAGAGATGCCGCCACCAGATGAGACACAGCGTTCCACACCAGATGCGTCGCATGATGTCAGACTCTCCCACTTGAGAGCAAAGGCGTATAGCTGCTCGAGAGGCGAGGGCTGTTGACCTTCCTCTTGGCCATCGTGACCACCGGAAGCACCACCTCCCACCTCCTCGAGGCAGAGATCTGCCACAGCAGCCTTGACTGCCACAGCAGCCTTGACGCCACCCATCTCGACATCACCGACTATGACGTCCACCTCAGTGTGTTGGTGTGGCTCGTGATCACCCTCTTGACGAGGCGTGACCTCACCGCTCGAGCTCATGCTGAGTCGAACCACAGCACACACATAGAGATCTGTGTTCTGGTGCTCGACAAGCCTTCTCCCCTTGGGAGGTGCTCAGTGGGCTCTATAACCTGTTGAAGAAACGTGAGTAGCTTCAGCGGGTCAAGAGTTAAGAGCCAGGCTTGACAAACAGCACAAACACGTCCGAAGACGCCAGGTGTGTGTGAGGCGATCGTATAGGGTTCCTAGCTCCAAACCCTCGGGTGTACGCGGCACTTTTAATTCGTCTGAACTAGGGTACGACTTCCTCTAAGCTCCTGCGAGCTGCGGGCGTATCATTTCCTCAACAATGAGCACAGAAATCCGGCCGAAAGCGCCCAGGATGAGCTGTGTTCACGCGTGACGCTGTGTGTGCGGCTGTGTCACCCACACAAACGAGAGACGTCTGAGCCAAGTTTGTCATCATGACCATTACACGGACCCCTAGACGGGTCGTTTTACCGCGAGCCTTGGCGAGCTTTTCCAAAAAACCCGTGGAAAAAAGCATCCCCGCACCCTTTTCAGCACACCAGCAGCACACAGCAGACCCCACACCTCAGGTGCGTCCAGGACGAGCGAAAGAAACGGTGAAAACAGCACCAGAAACGGGGAACAGACCAAGACAGACAGAGAGGGAACCAAAGGACACTGCAGAAGGCACGCAGGAGGCCACACACCAGCAAAGGAAACCCATAGAGCACGCTTGGCGCAAGAAGGGGAAAAGAAACGGCGAAAAACGCACGCAGAAAGACACCGCCACACGTCTGCCCCTCAAAGCGCACAAAACATGTTCCTTTGAGCACCCAATGCCGTCTCAGTACACAGAACAAACAGCTTTGCAGGCGGAGGCCGAAGGCCGAAAGCAACGGCGAGAAAGGGCAGCACGAGGCCGTCTCCTCAATGCCTCGCACAAATGATAATCTGGCGTCTCTCCACTGCATTCCATCATACCGTTGCTTTCCCTGCTCTTTTGTGTCGTCTCTCCACTACATCGTCTCTCCACTACACATACACGCTAGTTGACAAATACATGTGCCGCGGCGGTATGTTGCCTTCCTTTGCACCAAATACTGCCGTACATGTGCGAAGAACACGTATTGGGCGGGCAGTTTTCAGCCCAAGGCACGACTAAAGTTTGTGGTATGGTGGGGGTGCAAGGAATGACATGAGCGCTACGAAGGGATTGCATGTGTAGTGTATCTATCGACAGTGAGCGAGGAAGAGAGATGCCCGAGAGGACGGCAGTGCCCTCGATTCAGTCTATATCGGGCTTATCGAAGCCGTACAGCGCAAAGAAAGCGGCGCTTAGCAACCACCACTCGGTTCGTTCTTCACGAGGGACCAGCCAAGCATGCGTTTGCAAGCAATGCACACGACAGCTCAGATCAGTTTCACGGATCTTGCTCTAAGCTGAAAGCTGAGCTGGGTGGTTATCAGGTCCCAGTTTACCGGCGACAAAGCAACTTTTTTTCTAGGGTGTTTTTTGAAGATCTGTCTTCTGATATGTGTGGAGGGGGTCACTGCGAGGAACAAGTTTGCTTCGAGCTTGAAATCCGTTCACGCGTTCGCGCGAAAAACAGCGAAAAACGGCAGCAAAAACCCAGAAAACCGGTTTCTGGCTGTTTTCTCTCGGGTTTCTGGTGCGTTCGCCGCGCAAGTCTGTATGTGAGTGCTCCTTTGTGTGCTCTGTCCTCACGCAAGCGGTCATCGCTCTGCGCTCCGTCAAACACGAGAATGAGCCACCGAAAGTTGACGCTGCCGTTCGTCAACCCAAATCACCACAATTGTGTCAATGCATGATACATTTCGCTACGTTTGTTCACACGGAAGCGCGCATCGCTTTTCGTTCCGTCAGAAAGAAGAACCAGTCACTGAAAGGTTACACAGCCATGAACCATCAGTCACACAATGCATCGCTCAGGGCACAACTGCTTTACGTTCTCTTCGTACGCAAGCGGCCGTCGCTCTTCGACCCGCAAACGAGACCATAGCCGCTGAAAACTTGCTCACCGCTAACTCAACCGCAATGTCCTTGCACACGCTTCAAGGTCGATCTGGTTGATGAAAGATATGCGCACGGACGCTGCCAGAGACGAGTCTGCTTCTAATTGCAATTGCGCCCTGTTGTTCGGGTAAAAGGTGGCGAATACTGGTGTCGGTTACACATATTCCGATGCTGCTATTGTCGGCGCCTTCAACAGCTCTCCGGCATCGCATGTGGCAGCAATCGCGCTGTGGTTTCCTCGGTCGCTTCGAGAGGATGCAAGACATCGGGCAGGACGAGTGGACGAGTACCAGCTGTGTGAGGAGTGCGCTTGTCACCTGTGCATTATGGATGGCCATCCAACGTATCGGGGTGTGAAATACACGAGCTGGGCTGTGATGTGGCCAGCCGTTATTGCAGACAGCATCGGCCGGAGATCGATTGCGGATGCAATGAAGGTGTTGGACTTTTTGCCGCCATTAGTCACCGCATTTAGGGCGTCTGCAGGGCAGCTTCCCGACGTGTATAGCTTCCAGCATGGTCAGAGGTGCCTTGCCTCCTCGGTGCCGTCCCGATGTAAGTGAATGAATCGTCTTTGTCTTTGTTGATGTCATGTACACACATGGCTGTTTCGTTTGTTTGTGTCCGTATGCAGCCATCCTATGGCCCAGTCAGTATTTCGAGACATGACCATTGAGAGGCCAGCAGCTACTAATGCGATACAAGGCCCCGCTCGAGGAAAGCACGTGCCCCCTCTCATCCGCATCCTCAACGTTCAGGTATGACGACACCGGTGCGTGCGTGTGTTGCGTGGTGATTTGGGGGTGGGGAGCGTGCTTGTCATGGAAGCGGCGGCTCTCCCAGCGATGGACTGTGATGCACACTGAAGACATCACTGTCCCCGGCTGCCCGCTCGGCGCCAACTCTTCCATCCGGCGCAGCCTCGAGAAGATCACCACCAGCCATCAGCCGCTGCTCGAGGCAATCGTGACCTCTGATCGGATGGGTTGCAGAGCTCTGGCCTTCTCCTCCGCTATTGTGCATCCCCCGGCTGAACTATTGGCTGCGCCTCCTTCCTGCGGAATCTGATGTCTCCCTGCCAGCCGTTGAGCGACGTGACGCTGCCATTGTTATCACGGCTTTCAGACGCATATTCCGCTTCGCTGGTGACTTCCCTGACTCGGTTTCCGCGCAAGTGCAGCTGCCCATCCGGCTGGAAGGGTTCGGCCTTATCTCTGCAGCCACGATTGCCCGGGCGGCTTTCCTCGGCTCGGTCGGAGTGACGGTATCTGATGTCTCTTGCGCGTTCCGCGGAGCCCCATGGATGCCTCAGGATGGGCCCGCTGCTCTCTTGGACCTGCCCTGGCTCCAAGCTGCAGCTCCTGCCCTCGCTGCCGTCTCTGAGGCGGTCGGACCCTCCTCCTCCCTCCCCTCCCTCCAGGATCTGTTCTCGAGGCCGCAGGTCCGGCTGCAGCAGCGCCTGACCAATCAACTGCACAAGAGCCGCTTCAACGAGCTCTTCAGCTCCCTCCCGCCCGACGGCAGAGCCCGCGCTCGTCTCTTGAGCTGCCTAGGGCCTCTCTCCTCTGGTTGGCTGTCAGCAATCCCTTTCAGTGACCACAAGGCGCTGAACAACTTCCAGCATCGCCACGCCGTCGCCGAGTGTCTCGGCGTTAGCCTCCCGCACACAACCGTCTCGCAGCGATGCATCTGCGGCGGGGAGGTTGACAAGTTTGGCGATCACTACTACGTGTGTCAAACCGGCCGTGAGCGGGTCACAAGACACAACAATATGCGCAACTTGTTTGTTCACATCCTGGCTGAGGCAGATGTTCCTTCCAATGTGCCTCGGTATAACCCCGCCCGACGACAACCCCAACAGCCAGCGCATGGACATCTATTGTGTGATCGACGGCCATGACTACCTGCTCGATGCCACCATCGCCCACCGGACGGTCAACCGGCGTGGCGCACAGCTTTCTGGTGGCAAGGCGGCTCAGCTTGCGGAGAAAGACAAGATCGACAAGTATGGTCCAACCGCCCAAGCAGCCGGCTTCCGCTTCGTGCCTCTCGCTGCGGAGACGTTCGGCAGATGGGGAGAGAAGACCATGGACTTTTTCAAGATGCTCGCCAAGCGAAAGCCCCGCCCCACATCCATTCCCACGGAGGAAGACACAGCTTTCCGAGACAGCTTCGTCAACCATTGGAGCCAGCTTCTGTCCGTCGAGCTGATGAAGCACAACGCGTTCCAAGTGGCGAGTCGTGCACAGCGGGCTGCGGCCGCCAGAGGGCCACGGAGGGCCAGCGCGTTTCCGAAGGACTTCGTCAGCCGCGGGCCATACAGGCCACACACCAGCCCCGCTCCGGGGCTGTGAGGTGCCTGGATTTCCTGAATATGTGTGTCGTGTTGCATGTCTCGCGCTTGTTTGCAGTCTGCGACATGTTTTCGCAGTCAATGAGTGTCTGTCCATTGTTTTTTGCATGTATTGTTCTCGTTCCTTGCTTGATACGACTGATGCTTAGACGAACTTCGTCGCCCATTCATGCGAACTAGCTCAGGTTGCACTGGTGGAGGGTGAATCGGACACTCGAGATACCCAACAGCCTCGCAACCACTCGCACCCGTGAGTGAGTGAATGGATTATTTTTCGTCGTTTCAGAGTCGTTTTGAGCGGGGAAAAAGGAGTCACTGTGATGGAGGGTGACTCTGGCGAGTCATCCACAAGCAGAAGATAAAGCAGTCACTTGCTTGTGCATATAAAGCAATCAAACGTTTAAAAGCCGAAATCAGCCCTGTACTGATTGCTTTAGGCGATACTTCCTGTACAGAGTGATTAGCCCAGCTGATTCACATACGCAACTGATCCGTTTATGCGGTGCATGCAAATACATGTGCACGTGACCCACTTACAGGTTTTGTGGAAAGGCCGGACGTCATCGGGCTTGCAGTGTCTTTTTGCCTGCCTCCAAAAGGTCGAACTGTCCCGGAATCTAAAGGTAGGGGCAGAGAGGAGTGTGACGAGGGACTGCAAGCGAAGTGAAAGGCAGAGGAGGCAAAAGATTTTCTCCGTCATATGTGCAGGTGGAGACTTCACCACCTCACCCTCACCCCCACCCCTACACAAACCCCCCGCCCGTGCCCAAACTTCATGCTCCGCCGCCCACACACGTCCACACCACAAACGAGCCGCCCTAGCTTGCCTCTCGCCACGCACCTCTGTTACGGATTCCCCCGTTTGATTCCTATGATATTGCGTGTTCTCTTCTCTGGACTAGTTCGCATACTTCGCATATGTGGCACCGCTCTCCCAATGGCTGGTTTGTCTCTCGGTCTCCGTTTTCCTGTGCTGCATGGCTTTGTCTGTGGCTCCGTTCCTTAGGGTGGGGTGACGAGTAAGGGTTGAGAGAGAAGAGAGAAAGGACATAATTGGCGTGTCGGCCTGGCGCCGTAACTAGAAGCTCCAGGAATTCCAGACTCCACGAAGGTCCAGGAGGGCCCACAAGCTGCGAATGCCCACATGCTTCAGACTGAGCCTTGAGGAACTCTCAGATGGCAATGACCGACCTTCATTAATGACTTCCCCTCAAGAAATGTCTCTGGCATCCGTCGGCTTAAAAATGGTGACCAGGCCGTCACCTTTGGTCCTTTCGCCCCACAGTCTGACGTTGGTAAGTCTCTTGTATCGGAATCTGGCCACCTTGTTGACTGCCACGTCCTCCTCCGTCTCCCCGCGGAGGGTCTTAGTGAACAGAAACGTCGCAGTGTAGCTTTTACTCCTGTCGAGGAAGCCTAGGGGTATTGATCGAATAGTGCGTGTCTCCATGCGTCCGCTGACAATGCCTAAGAACCAGGTGTCGTCCTTCCGCCTCGCCAGCACGGTCAAGCTGCCAATCACGCTCGGGGGTACCGCTCTCGTCTCGTCCCAAACAGTGGGAATGTCTCTCACGATGTCATTATACTTCTGTCTCAGAAGGAACGTGGGGCTCTCTGCAATGGTTTGAAGAGGCGATGTAAATGTCACAAGAAGCGCCACTTGGTGAACCTGTCCGAAGCGAAACCAAGCAGCAAACAATGAGTGCAGGTGTACTTTGCAGGCCCGGTGGTACCTGGGTTGTTGGTCCTCTCCGAGTACTGTTCTGTATGACCACTGGTGTATACTACACAGCAAGGCACAAGTCGAAAGGACATACTCTCCGACATATTCTGCGACGATGACCAGAATCTTACGTCCGCTGGACCCAACGGGAACCTGTCCGCGTGTGTGAGGAGACAATAGAGAAGGTTCTTGAAGTGAATGATAGAGGTAGTGCCTTGTACCTGGTGAACGTCAGTGCGGCACTGTGCCACGGTGGGATCTTATTCGGTGATATCTTGTTAATCTCCATTCCCTGGTTGATACATACAAGTACATGGTCAGCGACGGATATAAGTAGTTGGTGAGCGGCGCTCACCAAGATTGCTTCCCGGGTTATTTGATTCGGGTATGTCCGCGTCTCACTGTTTTTCGATATACATACAGAAGGTTTCTGGCAATGATCCGTGCAATGAATGTACAGTACCCTGTCGGTTTTTGAACGCCATGTAGGTTGACAAGGAGCTCTCGTTTAGCAGCCTCACGCATCACCAGCTCCTCAAATTCAACGGTCTCCCGCAATTCGGAAACGAAGAAATCGAACTTCACACCGGCTGCCCCGGTCTCCTTCACGTAGTCAAGAAAGGTTCGAAGGCTCTCATAATCGTTACGAGCGTCATCAATAGCTTTTCTGTATTTCCAGACCAAGATGCCCATCCCATTCTGTCGCGCAAAGGCTGCGACCCGATTGATAGTAGATCTAGGTTTCCACCTCTGCCACCCGTTGTCAATAGTCGCATACTCAAAGCCCATCTTGTCTGCAGCCTCGATGTATTCCATCTCTTCCTCGGCTGTTATCCTTGAAACCTCCCGGTCCATGTACCAGTTCCACTGCAGAGGCCAAAGCGGTTCAGCAAGTGCAGAGTGTCTTTTGCGTACTGCATTCAATGTGGCTTACCACAGATCTGTCCAAAGACGAATCGCGACACATCAAATCCGTTTTGTCCATTGTGTGTGTCCATTTCCGTTACCTGCCAGGCTTGATGTAGTCGGGAAAGTCCGGCGGGCCATCAGTGGCATTTTTGAAATTGAAGAGTCCCGGATTACGTTCTTCAGGGGATGGAGACAGATGAGTGATCAGATCACTGTTGATGAGGTGGTTGAGGTTCTTCGCCAAGAGAATGACGCGCCAGGAGGTGGTCAAAGGCATTCGCATCCGCAGCGATGGAATCCGCCTCCAATAGCTGTGTGCGAACTCTGCTCGGAACCCCGCTCTATCGCCATCGGGAAGTGCCACGAGGTGAAAGCCGTCGGAATCAAATAGAGCAGCCTCTGCAATCATCCGGTATGGATAGGGAACGCTCCAGGTTGAATCCTCAATGAGGAGAGGTAGTCCATAACGATTCTTGTTGCCTCGCTGCCGGGTCCGCAAGTTTTGGGGGCCTGTCTTTCTCCATTCGCCGGTGGATGTCATCATCTCGTCATATAGCATTCCGTCGGCTCTTTCGAAGTACCATGCCCGATCTGCTTCCGTGAAGTTGACGAGAAACTCCGACATATCTGCCTTGATGATCATGGACTCGCTCATGCCTTCCTTCATGAGAAATGGACCCGTCGTTGTTGATAAGGGCTCCTTGGGCGTTTGCTGTATCCGATAGCGAAATGCAATGCCAGTTGACTCATCCAGAAATCTTCTGAAGTCGATGTAATACCGCAAGCCCTGAAACAACCAGTAAAAATCTCATAGCAGTGTCCTGAGGCGCTTCTTTCATCGTACGCTAGGTATATGATGGACGGTGTAGGTCACCTCCACTGCACGCTGCGCAATCATTTTGAACCCACGAATGTCATGTCTACGGCTTACCGTAATGGCTGTGAGCGACTGGATGAGTGCCCATTTTTCGATAAGTCTTCTGTACCTCCTTCGGGTCCGTTTCTGCCACAATCTCCACGTCCTCTCCCAGATTAGCGTCTCCAGCCAATAAAAGCCCAAGGGAGGACGGATTGATGATCTGGTGATCGCCGGCGAGCACTGCATATTTGAGCGCACCACTGTCGTCCACAAACACGTTCACTTGGAGTGGCAACGCTCCATCAGACGCGGCAGAGGTTACGATGGTGCTGTTGACGGCCACGGCGTAAGCAATCACGAAACAAGACCAGAAGAGCTGTGCAAGACTGCAATCTTTCATTTCGTCCAACTCCGACGACCAAGAGCGTATGGTCTGTGACAAAAAAATAGTAATACGTGGAAGGATTATTATTGTAATTACTTTATGAGCCTACTTCGCTTTTGAGGTGGGGGAGGACTCATTCGCAAGTTGGTGCCGCTCTGCACGTATGTCAACGGTTGGTGAGTGGGGCAATCAGCACGTGCGCAAATACCGAAAGTAACATATTATGTCTGCCATAGCACGACAAGTCATCATGAATCCATCCCCGTATGAGTAAGCATCAGGTAAGCATGCATCCCACCCGGAGGCACCCAGATAGGCAGAGGAGTGTGTGCGCACATGGACGTGACCGCGCTACTACGGCTGCCCCGCAGCTCTGGGTCCGTGCCTGTGTGTGTGTGCTCACACTGATATTTGCACGTTTCAAGAGAGAGCCAGTTGTGAGCAGTGGGACGAGGAAGATGCGGCTCAGCCAGGTGCCGGTGCAGCAGATGATGACTCGTTGTCTCTGTGCATGGCATTGTGTGGTTCGCAGTGTGTGTCGCTGTACAATAAAGTAGTGGGCAGACATGTGTAGAGGAAGGAGAGTAGCCGGCTGACTGCATGAATGATGTTGACAAAGGGATGCTCTTGCAGTGAGTCAGACGCGACATGAATGAGTGGCTTTGCGTGCAAATCAACGGCTTGAACGTTTGTGCGATCGATCACGAAAGAAGAAGGTCTTCGTGCAGCCAATCACACGCTCTCGGCAAAAGTCCGACTCATTCCAGAAGTCCACTTACGACCAAACAGGGAACTAGAGGGCGGTGGAGGTTCAGTGACGGAAGCGAGGTCTCGCATGAAAAGATGATGTCTGGAATTCCACACAGCATCAAGTAGTCATGCGCATGCACCTCAGAGAGAAATGTAAAAACGAAAACCCGCAAGTTCCATCAAGCATCATCATGCGTAGACACCGCCGGTCTGCTAAGACCCGTCTGCTAACCCCATCCCCGCAGCTTGCTGTAAGTCTGCTTATTATGAAGAGGTGGTTTGGAGTGAGTTCTTCTAGAACACAAGAATTTCATTGACACACTCTGTATGCCAGCGAGTGTAAATATTTGACTGACAGCTCAGATACACTGTTTTGAGTTGCAGATGCCCCTCTGTTACATCACTCATACACTCACTATTTGCCCCTTTTTCTAAGGATTTGAAGTGAACACAAAGGGGAAGTTCGCCCAAGCCTCAAACACTTTGTGCAAGGCCGAACGGCTGGCTCAAGAGTGAGACACCGCCAGATATCAGCATCGAAAAGGGGAAGTTCAATGTCTCAGTGCATTTCTAGCGTTTGCCGGGTGAAGTCTAGTGGACTCGCAAACGTAGTCTTTCAGGTGCCTCTCCGCCGAAGGACGCGAGAACGTCTAGGGCAAAGAGGCTGACGTGGCCACCACTTGCGACCGATTCATTTCCTCATCTTGATCATCAAACGCCACCGCATGGAAATACTTGCAATTCTCGGCTCCCTCTGGGATGTCCACCCAGTGCTCGAATTGCTTTTTCTCGACTTCGGCATGCACTTCGGTCGGCGAATCGTCACTTTGACCTGTGACAACCCACCACTTCTGTGTGCGAGTGTCCCCGTTCCACGGAAAGTGCAACCTCAGAATTGTCGCTTTGTTGCCGACGTCAGCATCCAGGGGACCGTAGGCGGCCATGCCGGCATCCCAGTCCAGGGGCGGTTGACCGCGCGATCCGTACCACGATATGAGCTATAGCCTCCACTCTTCAGGTCCCAATCCATCCTTATCAGCTCTTTCCCATCGCTCGTTGTTTCGATGTAGAATGGATTGGTGAAGAAGTTGAAGAACTCGTCACGGGTTAACCCCAGACAATACACACCATTGCTGTTGGGCATTCGTCTGTAGCTGCCTTTGGCCCTAGCATAGATGCCTGTGTCGTATGAATGCACCAGACGTGCCTCCATTGGACGACCATGGCTATCGAAATCCAAGTCATACTCAACTCCTCGTGCTCTGATTGTTGCGACGGTCGCGCGATACTTGCTTGCGGCGACGATGACGACTGCAGAGAAGTCGAAGTCGCAACCAGGTGCATTCTTGTCGGGTTTGACAGATTCGGGGGGTGGCCCCGCCCCTTTCCTGGGTGTCTGTGTGAGTATGCACACCTGGCTTCCTGTATCGAGCATGTCCTCAAACGCAGCGGGAACATCTGCTTCCCCTCAGCTTCTCCTTGAAATATCATGTGCCTCACGGTCATGTTCCAATCGCGGACGTGACGAAGGTCGCCCGCATGTGCCATCTTTGGTCAGTTGACTCTTCAGCTGTGTCGCAGCTGACCTGTGTCGTGACCACGTGGAAGATGGTCTCGGACAAATGCGTTAGCGTTGCGGTCTGCGTATGTGATTGGCGGTCATTTCAATTGGCGGTAATTGGTGGTCGTGAAATGACCGCCAAAGGTGTGGACGCAGAGCAGCACAGCCACCATTGCTGCTCTTCGCAGAACCATTCTCTTTTCATCTTTCACAGTGGAACCTGCGCAACCTCTCCGTTACACACACCGGAATCGAACACCCAGACACAGAATCCGCTGTTAGGAGGCACGCATGCAGGTGAAAATATGGGTGTTTATGGGCTCTGCAGCCGTCGTCTGGGGCCTAGGGCAAAAGGTTTCGGCAGGGCCGTTGGAACTCCCCGGGTGTGAAAAAAAAACCCTTGCTATCTGCGTTTCTTCATCATCCTGTTCTTCACCCGAGGATACCCAAAGATGGGAAGGAAAGGCGCGCTTGCGTTAACAAGCCTGCTTTGCCGCCTTGTTGCTTCCATGCCGCCCTCTGCTGTGTCCATTTCTGGCCTTACCGTACTCAACGCCACGCAGCTGCAGATCAGCAAGCAGATGATCATCGACGGCGACAAAGACTTAGCAGCTTCTCTCAAATCATTATACGACGAATGCGAACACATTCTTCAGAAGGAGCCTGTCTCAGTGCTTGACAAGAGCGACCGGCCCCCTAGTAGGGACAAGCATGACTACATGAGTTTGGCGCGTTACTGGTGGCCCAACGTCACAAAGGAAAATCCATCCGGCCTTCCCTATATTAATATCGATGGGAAAACGAACCCGGAGATCCACTCTGTACCGGATTACAAAAACCTGCGTGACTTGTTCTTGAGTGTGGAGAGGCTTGGGCTGGGATACTACTTCCTAGAGGACGAAAGATATGCCAAAGAGACTTAGCAGCTTCTCTCAAATCATTATACGACGAATGCGAACACATTCTTCAGAAGGAGCCTGTCTCAGTGCTTGACAAGAGCGACCGGCCCCCTAGTAGGGACAAGCATGACTACATGAGTTTGGCGCGTTACTGGTGGCCCAACGTCACAAAGGAAAATCCATCCGGCCTTCCCTATATTAATATCGATGGGAAAACGAACCCGGAGATCCACTCTGTACCGGATTACAAAAACCTGCGTGACTTGTTCTTGAGTGTGGAGAGGCTTGGGCTGGGATACTACTTCCTAGAGGACGAAAGATATGCCAAAGATGCCGTGGAAAAGATACGGGTCTGGTTCCTCGACGACGACACGCGCATGAACCCGCATCTGGAGTATGCCCAGATTGTAAGGGGGCACCCCCGTGGTCGTAGACAGGGAGTTGTCGACATGTCTGTCTCCTATCAACTCTTTGATGGCATCGCCCTCATCAAGAACTCCAAGCATTGGACTGAGCAGGACGAAAACGGGATGCAAGCGTGGTTCGAGGAATACATCGACTGGCAAACAAATAGCAACCATGGCAAAAAAGAATCTGCGCGCAACAATAACCACGGCCTGCTCTATGACGTCCAGTACATCTCAACCGCGCTCTTCCTCAAGGAGACGGACCTGGCAAACCGAAAGGCAAGGATGGCCCTGGAAAAGAGGATAGGCGTGCAGATCGACCACACAGGCGTGCAAAAGCATGAAGTAAAGCGAGCAACGTCGTGGTTCTATTCCTTGTTTGGCCTCAATGCGCAGCTGCTTCTCGCACGGGTCGCCGCCAATGTTGAGGTTGACAACTACCACTACGTTGCAAAGAGCGGGGGCAGCATTAAGAAAGCCATCGACTTTTTGATCCCCCACGGGCTATCACATGGCAAGAAGTGGCCATTCTCCAACCAGGGCGGCTTTAATATGGACCGCCTTGTCGAACACTTGGCTATTGCCTATGTCATTTACGGTCTCGACAAGTACAAGGAATCGTTCATCAGGCTCTTCCAACCCTCAATGTGGAGCGAAGAACGTGTCAAAAGCAAGCTATGGTCCCCGGCTTATACCATCTGGCCTCAGACCACGAAATCAGTGCATCAGCTTCGCTGTAGGTGGGGTGGTCAATGGTGGGATCGAGTAAAAGGAGCGGCCGGTGACAGACGCTGGGCCAAGTGTTAAGGTTGCTAAGGTGTTTACGAAGCTTGAAGTGTTTGTGCGGCAAAGGGTCTGTTCCCTCAAATGGGCGCAGACTATCGAGTGAACAGATTTGCATACCTCTGTCTTTTCGTCAGTGCGGCAAAGACTTGCTATATCAAGAGACATGTGACCCGGTCAGAAGCACGTCACGACACAGGTCTTGATCTGGAAAGCGGACATCCACATGTGTGGCTCCGTCTGAAACGTCCCTTACCCTATCGAGCCACATCGAGGTTCCCATCGCGACCACGCGAGACTTTGTGAATCTTCCGTCCACGACTACACTGCTGGTCTTGATTTGAAGGCCCTTTATTGTACTGCAGAAACGACACATCAAGGATGCAGCAGCGGAGACACTTTTCGAATGCATGCCCTCAGTTTTCTGGTCTCAGTTTTCCTCAGTTTTCCGTGAACGCGCTTGTTGCGCGGCCCTCTCGACAAAGCGGCGAAGGGGTTTCGCCGTGTTCCAGCTGTCGACTACACAGGAAGGGTCTGGGCAAAAAGTCCCCGTCGAAGCTCGCTTTTTTGACCTGCGAGCTGCCGATCTGGGGCAGAAGGTGACTTTCTCCACCAAAAAAATGGCTTTTTGACCAGAAAGATGACTCTCTATTGCAAATAGACAGATTATCCATCCAAAAAGACAGATCTTTGACCCAAAAAGTCACGGGTACTCACTCTGCATCCGGAATCACACAGGGATCATATAGAAATCAGCGCTGATTTCTATTGTGCAGCACCTGGAATCAGGGAATCAGAAATCTATTGGCGTTGGTAATGGATTCCAGCCAAATCGTGATTTGCACTGATTTCTCGTCTGCTGCTGTGATTTCGGCTGCGTGTGTGTCTGAAATGTGTGATTTTGATGCGCTTCAGTGACTCTGCTGGTATATATACACAACAAAGCTTACTTGCTATGCACAAGACCTATGTGTCTGTCTCAAAGATGAGTCAACCACTGGCAGCGATATCAAAACATCCACCCAACCACCCGCCCTCTCATTATCAACACATCCACCCAACCACCCCCCCTCTCATCCCCTCTTCCTGCCAGCGTGCGGCTTCTTTATCTGCTGCACGAAGTCATCGTCTTCATCTCGAGACTCCCTGGGTGGCCTCTTGACTCCCCCCTTTGCTTTGGCCTTGCCTCGGCCAGCATTTGCCCCGCCCCTGCCCCTCCCTCCCCTCCCCCTCCCTCCCCGCCCGCCCCTGCCCCGCCCTCGCCCCCACAGAGCCGGTGGAGGCTCAGCAACATCGCTGTTTTCCTCATCCACGTCTGACCACTCGGCGTAGGCGTCATCGAGCCTCCGTCTCACCTCTCGTTTGCCCTCCCCAGGCCCCACGGGCGGCATGGCTGGCTGCTGAGCACGACGAGTTGCTGCCTCCTTCTCCATCTGCTCCTCCAGCTCCTTGATCTTGTCAGCCACCACCGTCTTTGTGCGGTGATATGCTGGCCTTGCAAGCTTGAATGCACCCCCTCGTGACCCCTCTTCGCCGAGAAGTCAGCCTCAGCCACTGCGTGGATGATGCACGATGTTGGCTGGCGCACACCAGCTGTCCTCGGCGGGGTGAGCATGCACATCACAGGGCTGTCGGTGTCCATGGAATCGTCCTCTGGATGGACAGGGGCGAAGAATTCGATGTCGAGCTCGGCGTTTTTGTTGTCGTACATGAGGGAGATTGGTTGGTACATTGGTGTGGGGCCGGGAGGCACCCACACAAGCACCCACCACACGACAGATGTACCTGCACATCACAACGCACACAGGAGCAGCCAAACACACACCCGTCGGCCGACCGCGACCCTTGCGTATCCGTATTGTGATTACACACCATTGATACGCATAGTCGCGTGTGTGGGTCCTGCTCATTGAAGAGACATACGTAGAAGCCCCCAATCCTCACAATCTTCTCTCCTTTCCGCGGCAGCAACACGTCCAGACACTTGCGCCCGACTCCTCTCACCTACACACACCAAACCACCGTGACCTACGCGCCCCACACTGGTCTAGCTTTGGCTGACCCGAAGTGATCGGTCGGCCGATAAGCCGCCTGATTGCATGAACCGACAAAACCTTGGACAGCACACACGGCCCCTCGCCCGGCACCTCGATTGTTATGGCCTTTTTCTTTCCCTCATTGCTGCGAATGAGTGCGTTCTCGATGCGGGCACGCGACGCCTCTGGCTCCTCCTTGCCCTCTCCATCACTCTCGCCGTCAGGTTCCTCGCTGCGGCCGTTGCCACTGGGCGCGGGTGCGTGCACGGGCTCGTCCTCTGAGTCCTCTAGGTCGTCAGTCTGCCAGTGAGCAAGTCCCACGGTGTCCTTCCAGTTATGCTTGTCGAGGAGATCCAACGTCACATCCTCGTCCTTGGCAATGCCCAATGAATTGCCGACCTCTTTGTCCATCCCTGCTCTCTTGAACCCACTCGCAGGCCTCCCTGCCGCATGTCGTCAGCGTTGATGTCACTGCACACCTGGCCGGGGGTTGACCAGTGCGGTAGCTGAGGACACGTATCAGTAGGCTAGAATTCACTCAGCTGACGACGTTCCTGCCCGCACTCGTCGGCACACCACAGCCCCTCTCTGACGACATGAAGCGGCTGCTCCTTCGCCCCGTGCGCCACGGCGGCATCGGCCTTGTCGACCCGTCCTTCCGCGCTCCCCTTCCGGCCCCACTCGACCGGCAGTCCGACCTCTGTCGGCTCACGCGCAAGGCCTCCCGGGCGGGCACCGCCATCGGGGTAGGCTCGAGTTGGTGTCTTGTCTGCTTGTATTTCGTATGTTCAAGTCTGGCGGAGCCTGGCGAGCAGGATATTGGTGAGCATTGCCATGTTTTCAAAAGCGTTCGTCACCTCGCCGACCAGCTTGAGCACGTCTTCTTTGCCATCCCAGGCTTCGACCAGCCTGAAACAGGTTGAACCACACAAAAAGGCCTCATTCACTTCGGGAACAAGACGCCCCCATAACACGCCCCCGCATCATCACAGCGCGCAGTCTCCCTCCCCTTGCAAAGCTCCACCAATACCAATGCCTGCCGTCCGACCCAAATGCACTCATCTAAGATGGGCGCATCATCCTCTGCCTGGAATACCTACACGTTCGCCCTTTAAGGCTAAATGGGGGGGGGGGGACTGCATCGTCCTCTCGTCAAAGCCTTTGTAATTGCAGCCTTCATATTCCCCAACACTCGCCGCATGCACTCACCACACGTGAATTCTGCCGAAACCTCTGGCGTCTCCTCTTGTCCAGCCCTTCTAAAATACGTACTCAACCTCACTCAACCTCGAGGCGACCAAAAATCACTCTCGACAAAACTGTGTATATTTGTTGCCTGGCATTTTCGTATGCTCTCCGTCTGGCCGATCGCCTCCCATTACTCGGGCACACGACTGACTGACCACACCACACACACAGAGGTGCGGGCAGGTGCGGGCATGTACATGCATGCTGATGGCTGTGACTGTGCTACACACGGCTGCACGCCCGACGGCTGTTTTGGGTGAAAATAGCGAGTAAGGAATAGTGATTGACCGCAAGTCAGACAGAGACAACTGAGCGAACGGGGGAGACAGTTTTCGTGGGCTACACCCCAGTGCTTTCTGCGGATAGCCACTTACGTGACACAGACGAGGTGGACACGTACTTGACCAAGCAATCATATGAGAGTCAACCCTCATGCGTAACCCGTCAGTTGAGGGGAACTTGCATCCCTAGTCGATCAAGCATCCCTAGCCGATCAAGTGTCCCTAGTCGATCCGGTGGTGGTGGGTCGCCACCGATGACAATTGACGGAGGGCTGGAACTGTGTAACGAGGCCGGATCCAGCCAAGCCCTCGTTTGCGGCCGGCGGGAAGAGGGGACGCCTTCTTCTCCGCCTGCTGCGCCTGAAAGGAGTGACGAATATGAGTGTCAGTTGAATCATATGCAATGCACTGACGATGCAGTGCAGGCGGCTCACTTACATGTATGTGAGGGGGATGTTGTAGGTGGTTCTGAGGAAGCGATGCAGTGCTGCGCTGTAGAAGATAGGCGAGAGAGACGACGTGGGCTCGTGCCGACTGTTAGATGGCAGACCTAGGTGCGAATGAAAGCAAATGGTGTGAGAGTGGATGTGCTCGTTGATACTGGTGCCGACCTGAGTGTAATGAGCACCAAGATGCTTGACAAGCTGCGAAAGGAAGGAGACAGAGAAGTGACGATATGTCCAGGCGTCATGACGCTCAGTGTGCTACACCATGGTGAAGTGGCGGTCGAAAAGGTCGCAAGAGTCGCCTTGTGGCCTGATACAATGGACACACAGACAGCAGCCACGAACCCGCTGCCTGTCGATTTCTATGTCATCGATGACTCCAAATGTGTCGTCTTACTGGGAGGCAAGGCGATTCGCGAAGAAAGGGTCATCGTTGACCATGAGATCGGAAAAGTACGTGTCACATCACGACCAGAATGGCCACCTATGGACATACACGCACCACAGACATGTGGGATAAATAGCCTGAGTGTCATGGCTTTTGGCCTGACTCGAATCGACGCACCTGCGGACGGGAAGAGATTGAGCTATCAGGTCCATGTCACGGCAAAGACACCCATCCCGGCCGGCAGGGAGACATGGGTGCTAGCACGATTGAAGGGACCTGACAGACAGATGAAAGGGGAGGTTGGTCGTCTGTTAGTGCATCCAGCACTCGCATGCCACAGAGGCGCATGGCTATGTGTAGATGACGAGACAAGCGAAGTGATATCAGGTCGTTGTGTGCATATCAGGATCAGCAATCCGTCACACAAGAGGGTCGTCTTGCCCAAGAACCACCTGCTGGGCTGGTTTGATGTACTCCCTTCCATGCCCACAATGCAGCGACCTGTGGACGAGACGGGACGGATTGCAGCAGTCGAGGTGGCTGATGCTGATGTCGTACCTTGTGAGATTGATAGAGAGCGGATCGATCACTTGATGGCCACGCAGCCACAAACAGAAAGCATCCGTAGCTACCCAGATGCTGACGAAATCAGCCATGGGATACAAATCGGCAAAGGCCTGACGGACCAACAGAAAAGACGGGCAGTGGATGTGATCAAAGCAGCACAACGGACGGGCGTGTTTTCGTGTGACAAGAACGACCTTGGCCATGTCGATCCGTCTCTCGGTGTCCATCGCATCAGTGTCAGTGGCATTCCTCCGTACATGAAGCCTCGTAGGCTGGCTCAGATTGAGCATGAGGAAGCAGTGAAGATAGTGAGCGACTTGAAGAGCAGCGGTGTCGTCGAAGCTGCTGATTCTGAATACAATGCAGCCATCGTAATGGTCAGAAGAAAGACGGCAGCTGGCGTCTGTGTGTGGACTATCGCTGGCTCAACGAAATGACTCAGAAGTCTCGCTACGCCCCACCTTTGATTGATCAGTGTTTTGACTCCCTCCAGGGCATGTCGTGGTTCACGACGCTCGATGCGACGTCGGGCTTTTGGCAGGTCGAAGTCAGCCCAGAAGACAGACACAAGACGGCCTTCTCGGTCAACGGGCAGACACAACTGCAATGGATCCGCATGCCCATGGGTCTGTGCAACAGCGTAGCGACATTCCAGAGAGTGATGGACAAGGCATTAGCACCAGTGCTTTGGAAGAGTGCGTTTGTGTATGTCGATGACATAGTGATCTTCTCACGCACCTTTGAGGATCACTGCAGCCACATCCTTGAGGTCTTCCGACTGCTGCAGGCAAGCAACATCAAAGTGAAGCCAAGCAAGTGCACCTTTTTCGCGCGCAAGATATCCGTACTTGGCTTCATTCTCTCGAGACGGACTGGAAGCCGACCCAAAGAAGGTCGAGGGCATGATCAACCAGCCTGAACCAACGAACCAAAAAGAGCTGCGCAGTGTCCTTGGGGGTCTGCAGTTTTACAAGCGATTTGTGCATGGCTACGCTAAGCTGGCTCGACCACTCACTGACCTTACGAAGAAAGACGTGCCATTTGAGTGGGGCGACGCCCAGCGAGATGCACTGCTGACGGAAGCACCTGTGCTGGTGTTGCCTGACTTTTCGAAGCCATTCGTGCTCAAGACAGACGCGAGTGACTATGCGATTGGAGCAATCCTCTGCCAGCGAGACGACAAAGGGCACGAAAGACCGATCCATTGCGTGAGCCGCGTCCTTGCCGTTCCTGAGCGCAAGTGGTCGGCCACAGAGAGAGAAGCGTTCGCCATCTTTGTCTTCGTGCGCTATTTCCGTCCCTACCTGTTTGGACGGCGATTTGAGTTGGTATCTGACCATCACGCGTTGAGAGCGTTGAAACACGCGGAAGGAAGTAACCGCAAGCTCAATAGATGGTCAGGGATGTTGCAAGACTACGACTTCGTCTTTCGCCACCGACCTGGAGCACAACATGGAGACGTGGATGCAATGTCACGGCCTTCTGGCATGCAGAAAAACACTGAGTACATACCTCTGGCGAGTGACGAAGAGGCATATCAGTTGGGTGCTGTTGGGTCGCAATCGGTTGACGCCAATATCAATGCGGTTGAGCTAAGGTCCATGCCTGTCAGTCAGCTGTTCTATCTCGATGAGATCAAGAAGGCCCAAGACCAATGTGCCGAGGTCTCGCGCGTCAAGGCATACCTGAGGGCACAGGAGAGAGAAGCAGCCAACGTAGAGCTCGATCAGCTGCGCGATGCCATTCCCAGAGCATACTGGCCAAGGCTCGCCGACGTGTGCTTACATAATGGGCTTGTATCGATCGTGTCGAGACGCCAAGAGCATGGTCCAGTCCTGCTCGTGCCCACGTCACTGAGAAAGGAGGCGCTGACGCTGCATCATGAGCACATCTTCGGCGGCCACCTGGCAGTCGAGAGAGCATACAAACGAATGGCGCAACAATACTATTGGCCTGGTATGTATACGGACCTTCGGAAGCATACAGAGGCATGTCAGAAGTGTCAAAGCAAATGGAAGCTGTTGGCAAGCAAGAGAGCAAGCATCCAGACAGCATCGGCCGAAAGGCCATTCCAAAAAGTGACGATGGATTTCATCGGTGCCCTGCCGATCTCTCTGGACGAGAAGTCGTTTGCGTTCACCGTCCAAGATACCTTTACCAAGTGGCCAGAAGTCTTCACGTTTTCGAAGGCTCCTGGCACCGGCCCGACTGGCGAGGACGTAATCGAAGCGCTCATGGATATGATAGCGAGGCACGGGAAGATCGGTGAGATAATCACTGATAATGGCTCGCACTTCGTCAATGATGTGATGCGCGAAGTGACGGCCAAGCTGCACATCAAGCACACAACAACATCAGCAAGGCATCCGCAGGCCAATGGGCTGATCGAACGCTTCAACCGTACACGAAGGATTGGATACGTCCGTATCTCAATAAGGAGCAAACCAACTGGGACAAAGTGATTCCCTTGGCCTTGTACGCGTATCGTACGACAGAGCATGAGTCCACAGGATTCACGCCATTCAAGATGCTGTACGGCCGAGAAGCGGTGCATCCGAGCAGCACGGCAAGGCTTGTTCGCGAGGAATGCAGAGCCAATCGACGTAAAGGAAGCCGTCGAGGTGATAAAAGAGGGTCTTCAAGCGGTCCACAAGAAAGCTCGTGAGATGATGAGCAAGAAGAAGCAGCAAGCCGCTGAACGCGAGAAAGAATTGCCTGCACCAAGGCAATTCCAGGAAGAAGACAGAGTGCGCATATACAATGACCAAGTGCCTAAGGGTCTCAGCAGGAAGCTGGCCTCACCTTGGCGGACAGTCGGCATCGTCCAGGAGAAGAAAGGACCAGTCACCTACAAGGTCCGTGTGTGTGGCGATCAAAAGGCGAGGAGCATCAATGTCGATCGGCTGAAGAGAGCACCACCACCAGAAGACGAGGAAGCGCCACCACCAGAGGACGGAATTGATGTGAAGGAAAGCGACCTGAAGAGGGACAGGAGGCAGACAATCTTCAATCAGGGCGCATTTTTGTCGCCTGGGCAAGAGCGTGTCTTGAAGGATTTTGTCCTCCAGGAAGACCCCGTGCCGACAGCTCGAACGCAGAGAGCATCAGAGACCACATTCGACCCGATAGCACATGACCCGAGCCTCAGAGACGTCCAACCAGACCAGCGATTTGAGCGTGGCGATCGATACGAAGTCGAGCAGGTCATCGGCAAGAGGACGCACCACGGCAAGGTGCAGTACAAGCTCAAATGGCGCTGGTATCCGCTCTCGCATTCAACCTGGGAAGACGAAGAGAACCTCACTTGCACAGAGCTCGTACAGGAATACGAGAATAGTGAAAACGTGCCTGACCTGGACGAGCATGCTTCGCTCTTTCCCGCGTTGTATTCTGTGGTGCAAGTCCGCCATGTAAAGGAGCTCAGTCGCGAGCACACTGTCAAGGTGACGAGGTTGGACAAGGAAGGCATACAGATACAATACCTGAAGGAACCGACGCGCACAAAGAGACTAAAGAAGGAGAGTCTCGCAGGACGGAAGCAGACGATTCCTTTGGCTAGCTTCCTTCGGAATTACCAATGGGAGAGAGAGCGTGACGATCCGGCTGTGCCTGCTCCATCTGGCGGCACAGCATGGCAACCGATCCAGCGCATGGACTGACGAGTTCCCAGCACTCTTGAAACACTACCTGAGAGATAACAACAACAGCAGCCACAGCATCCTTCTCTCTTTGTGCATGAATGCGTGTGGGGGGTGCGTTACGTGTGTGTTGCATGTGTATGTGTGTGTACCTGTGTTGCTGCTGAGGGTGCGTGACTACATGACAAAGCAAGTGTCCGCTGGTAAGAGTAAGTTGGGGTTGTATGATTACATGATTGCATGATTACATGATTACGCACGGGGAAGGTAGGAAGAGCGCGACGGAGGCATGCACAGGAGTGGCAGGGACGCACTAACAAACGGCCTGGGGACGTTGGCAAGGCAGGACTCTTGCTGAGCCCTGAGTTAAGGGTTAGTGCTACACTGTTCCCAGCCGGGACCTACGTGGAAGTGTGTGTCGGCTCAGTGGTGCCCCGTGCGGGTAGGTAGAGTGTGTAGTTGGGAAAGACGTAGGGTCCGAAGCGGCATGACGTGCTTGTGAGCGAGTAAGCATGGACATTGACGATGGACGCCCTGCGTCGCCTTTCACAACACGTCTACCTGCGAGAGAGAGGAGGATACGTGTTCATGTATGTGTTCGTGTTCGTGTATGTGTGCGTGTTTGTGCATGTGCGTGTATGTGCTTACGTGTCATGAGGGAGTGAGCACACTCAGGAGATAACAGTGGCAGCCAAATCAAGCCACACCTGCAGTCGGATAGAGGCAGTCCGACTGTGGCCACGATAGAGATTCGGTGTACCAACCATGTCAGTCAGCATGATGGAAGACGGGAAGAGAAGAAGGGCGGCACGCCTTCGGGGTCGTCGGTGATCTGACGCGCGATTTCACACCAACTCGTCTCGGTGCTGGAGCCGCGTCTGCTGCTGGGATGCTACTTCGCCTCGGTAGCATGAAGCTCGCCCAGCCATCACTTTGATCACCTCCCCTTGGCGCTGTATCGCTTGGACACTCTGTCCTTGACGCCATTGCGTTAGACAGGCTTGTAGGCACTGTGAATCCCAGCTCCGAAGAGCCCTGAAACGACACAGACAGACAGAGGGCGATTTGAGCGCACAGATCTCCTGACAATGACTGGGGGGGCTCACCTTATGTGTTGTTGTTGAGATGGCGATGCGATGATGCTGGAAGGTGAAGGCGGGACGCCCACGACCATCACCGTTGATGAGGACGCGCATCACAAGGAGGAGCAGAGGAGAAGAGGAGCCGAGGCAAGGGGGAGCCAGGCACCCGAACACTGGTCAGAAACAGAACAGCAAGAAGTCGGAGGCCATCGCCTTGCCTGAACAGCAGAGTCGCCATCGTGTTGTTGCATGATGAAGGATAGTGAGTGACCACAATGGGTTTCTGTGAGGCTACGTACCCGAGGGATAGCTGAGGGGATATCATCCTGAGGCGAATGAAGGGAGCTAAGCCCGCACCTACAGTGTTTACAAACGGTCGGGGGAGCCACTCGACGATACGGACCCCAGGCCGGGAAGCACACTCGCGAGGTGCTGCGAACGTCATGTAGCTGAGCCGAGGTGCATCACTCAGCGGATGTGTTGATGTGTGATGGATTATGTCTCATGTTCATGCGCCTTCCACACCCTGCAGCCGATAATGGTGCTGTTCGGAGCCCAGCACATGAAGGGAGGGAATGCTACAGGGTGGCATGAAATGACACTGAAGAGCATGTGCCGGCCGCCTCCGGCGGCCGTGGATCCCGAGGAGCTCAAGCTGGAGCGGGCAAAGTGATAAGGTTGACAACGCCACCTCGGCGCACGTCTTCATAGGTCAGGGTTTAGGGTTTAGGGTTTGAATGTCCCATAGATCTTGATCGAATTCCGCTGTGCTCGCGAGATACTGTGCCGCGCGACTCGAGAAGCACACCGTTCGAACCACCAGCGGGCGCTTGACGTCACCATGAAGCCGAAAAGGAAACCCTAAATGTGTACCTTAGGGTTTCTTGTACGGTTAGCTACTGGGGAGATATACCGCTGCGCTGATGAAGGGAGGGAGATGTCAGCATCTCCCCCGTGTTCTAGAATTGAGCAGTCTTTAGGGTAGCCGTTGTGAAAACTGACATGCTGGTAGAATAAGGGCACCGGCCTTATTGTGTCAAGCGAGTTAGGGAAGGACAAAACACGAGGAAGATCGGGGGGGAGAATCTAGCAGGAAGGTCTAGGGGTTGGGGAATAATAATGGAAGGAAACCAACTTACGCTGGGAACACGCCACCGGAACCTCAAGGGGTATGCAATATATGAAGCGTCGACAGCCCTTCAAAAGAGCTTCAAAAGAGCCGTCTGTTCCGAGACACAAGACAAGTCAGCATGTACAGTAACAACATCATGAACAGACACGAGAGCTGTTTGTTCAGACACACAAGACACGCTACTATGTATAACACTACCATCATGGACAGACCCGCGAAAGCAGACACGCACTGCTTCTCTATTCAAGTCAAACTGTCTGGGGAATCGCATTATGAAGAGGATGAGACATGCATGGAGGCTCAGCCGGGCCCCGCCCACCTCAAGTTGGTGGGCGTGGCCCGGCTGAATCCACACGTCGAGCTCTACTTATCCTTGCCTTGGCAGCTCATCAAATGCAAAACGCCAGCTCATCAAATCCATCCCATGGCGCATCCGATCGACACATGCATGTATCTTGTGTGCACACATAGAGAAAAACATATTTAATCGATGCTATATGTGTATCCCCGCATGCTGAACTATCTCATCCTCTTCATCCGTTTCTCCTCCACCGGTCCGTCGGCAGTAAACGGCACGTCACTGTGCGCGACGGGCACCGACAGCGAACTCCTCGTCCGCCGCCTCTTCTCCACACAAGTCAGAAGGCCAAACGCCTCAGCTGACGGATCTTCAGGCACACAGTCCAACGGCAGTGATCCACACATCCCATGCTTTCCCTGACGGCTAATCGGGATATCGCTGATTGTGCCCACAGCGACGTCACCAGCCCCGCGTGTAAGGGCTCGCCAGGCAAGTACAGATCGGGAGGGCGCCTGAGGCAACCTGGCGGGTCGAGGGTGACGACGAACGAGGGGCTGGCAGCGCCATGGCGTCTGATCATAGTGCAATCGAAAGAAAGGTTGCACGTCGTCGTTGAAGAGTGGCATCCATTTTCTTACTATGCATATCGGGCACGGCGGTCAGCCTGTGGTCCACCGGGACGCATGGCGGATGAATGGAAGCCGCTGTCGCATCTTTTACACAGCATGATGGTTGGCGGCTTCTTGTTGCTGCCGCACACCAAATCTGCAGAGCGTCCCTTAGTGCCCTCTGCCGCTAGTGCATTTCCGCTTCCACCAAACGATCCTCGTCGTTGGCAACATCGTTTAGAGGCTCCTGCCGGTACGCCTGCGCGAATGGGACGTAGTTTGTGCTGAACGGAATGAGATCAAAGTGCCGCGTGTGCCCACTGACAGACAGCCAGACAGTCGATGCGATGCGTTCTTTTGTGTATAGTGCAGCTGTGCATACTACAGCCTGGATCTGAATAAGTAGAGGTTGGCGTTCTCCTGTCTGGTCTCCGGCATGGGCGTCGCGAGGTCCTGATAGGTCTGCGGGTCGTTGACGTCATGCTGATCCGCGTCGTCGTCGGCACGTCGGGGCACAGCCCAGCACACCAGCTGAATGCCAACACGGCCCACATGGAAAGCACAGCACAGCAGATGAAACCTCGGTGAGCGAGAGCGAGTCAAGCACAATGACTGATTGTCGGTTGTGTGCGGTGCTTCTGTACCAGTCGATGGGAAACTGTTGTCTGTCGGCGGTGAGCCAGCGCCAGACATTCTGAAGCCGCTGAGGGAGCACGAGAGGCTCAGACGATCACTCCTCTGAGCGCCGAGTGCATGCGGTATGGGTCGCACTCCACATTCTCCTCTAATCTCCCAACGAACGACTCAGAACATTCGTTCCAATCGCAAGTTTTCCTCGACCCGTGGCCCTTGTCGATCGAGGAGTAAGCATGAGGTGAATTCATGCTTGACCTGGACAGGATCCCCTCGGGGTTACAGACACGAGTCTCGTTAAACACAATGACCAACCAACCATGCTTTCTGCATGGCATGTACTCGCGCGTGCAAGGCCCCACTTTGTCTGTCTGCCCCTCCCCCCAGCACAACGAGTCTTCAGACGGCTTTCCAACTGCAATTTGTGCCAGTGTGCAACTGCCATATTGTCTCCTACCGATGAACATTGACCCATTGAAGCTTGTCTTTTGCAGCCCCCTCCCCCGTTCAAGGGGGAGGGGGCGACATTGCATGGTCCGCACGAACATCTGACTTCACACGATGTGCCTTCACTGCAATCACCCATCAAAAACAGTCGATTCTCGGCTTCTGGACCAGTCCTACCGCTAATGACTGAGTCCTCTTCATCCGCTCTTCCCGGATCCTTGCAAAATACAGTTAAATCGTTGTGGCTCTTGCATCCTCTCTTTCATTAGCTACCCTAAACCTAAGCCCGTGGCCAATCGCGATCACTGGTTTAGTGTGGATAATCGACTTTGGTGCGACATTTTGCCTGGTGTCCCTTCCCGATCGCCTCCCATTACTCGGGGACCCCTCCCCCCTCGTAACCGTTCGTCGAGCCGCGTTCGCGGCCAGGCCCATCGAGGAGAAACGCATTGGTTTCTCTGCTTTTGCGGTTTTTTTCACACACGGTATCTTCTGTTTGTCTCAATCTTCTCCCTCCCCCCCCCATCATTTATCGTAAGCGTGGCAGGTCTGCAAAAAAGACCTGCCGCTTGGGACGTGCGCGACACCGTAAAAAAAAAGGCAGGTACAGGGCGTGGCAGGTAGGAAAAGGCGAGTGGAAGGGAGGCGTGAAGAGAAGCACGACGGGAGACAGACTGGGATAAACGGCCAAGAAAGACACAATATGAATGCTACACCACCGGTATCCCACCGCTACTGGTGCGACACAAGCAAGGGCGAGGAGCGGCGGACCGGCTCCAACAGACCTTTAGCCCCCCGGGGGCTCTTTCGGTAGGGACGGCGGAGACCAACTTGAAGTCAGACATCTCTCGCACTTCTATCCTTCTGACCCATATCTAGCTGACCCGCTCAACATGCCCTGTGCGCTGTATATACACTCACTGCATTCCCATCAGTCGACGTATCAACTAACAATAAAACACGCAAGGACACACACAAGCATGGGCATGACAAAAACTTTGTGCTCACATGCTATGAATGCACTAATCAATGGCGCACACACATGAATGCGGGAGGACCCGCATACCGGAGCACATATGTGGGAGCGTATGTGTATAAGCTGGAATACTGCGGCGCGGCCATCAGCACGGTGAGAGAAGCCTGCAATGCGGCCAAACGAAACATCAACACACCTGCCAGGCAGACGCAGGAGCACTCAGACGAGTAGATCTGCGTGCCAGAATGCTGCTTGACGGCCATCGGCTCACCTGGCAATAGAGAGGGCGGCAATGCGACTCAACAACACACCTGCCAGGCAGACACAGGAGCACTCAGACGAGTAGATCTGCGTGCCAGAATGCTGCTTGACG